TTTTTTTTTTTTTTTTAACTAAGTCTCCTCAGGTTTGCTGTGTACAATCACATATATATACCTAGGTTACTCTTAAAACCACATTTGTTTATGTGAGGCCCAAAGTGCTGCTGCAGTGAAGGATTTGGTAGTAAGTGTGAAAATAGATTATTTTAAATGTAAATTCTCTAACACTTTCCACATTTTATACTTACTGTCATTATTTAGGAACATGCCTACGTGTATTATCAACAATGCAGTTGCCTGAATACTTTGATGGCATCATGAGGATAGGTACACATCTTCAAATAGGTTTCCGAAGAATTTACCCTATTTGTGAAGTAATTAAGATTGGGAAGCTTGACTGTAAGTCTGGCTCAGCCAGGTAAAAGTTGATAAAGAATAATGGTAAGGTTAGGGGTTTTTAGTTCCTAGAGAACTTTATAGAAAGCAACCTCAAGAAGGTTCCTGCTTCAAAAGGACATCATTTAAACCATTCTAGATGGAGACAGGGTTTTTAAGTAGGAAATTCGCTGATGTAACTCAGTATTTCTTTCTGTTTTTTAGAAAACATTTATCATTTGTATGTATTTTTAATCTTGCTTTCATCTTAAGATGTTAAGGCAGTTTTTCTTATGGTGTTTTGTGTCATAAATATTTCAGTTCTTGTTCATATGTAAGGATATCTTAAAATATGTTGTATACTCAGGGAAGGAAATCAATCAAGCTCTCTTGATTTAAGAATAGTAAATGCCATGGTATGGCATTTCATGATATTTTGATTTATTTGGCAGTACAGTTCATCTCATGTCAGGGAATTAAACACCAGAACTTTACTAAAGAAGCTCAGTCTTTTTATTTGGGCACAGCATTTGTACTTTAGTGTTTCTTCTCTCAAATTTCAGACTGGAATGGTCAACTTCCTGATAGGAATCTGTGTCTTGCTGGTCCAAGGACACATCAAACATGCTGAAAGATACCTCCTTTTTTTTCTTTATCTCAATTAGTAGCACCACCATTTTCTCAGGCACCCACTCAAGTCAGAAATCTGGGAGCAGGGATGGCACATACATGGCATGAGTGTATTTCATTCACTATTCCTCCTCACCTCTGCCATGTCAGACATCTCAGCAGAGTTCTCTTTCCTTCTGAATCTTGACATGAACATTAGCTTTTAAAAGCAATGCAGTCTAATTGTCAAAGTCCTGCTGAATTTTTTACTTCCTATTTCTTAAATCTATCCCTTCTCTTCCCACATACTATCATTGCCTTAATTCAATCCCCTCCAGCTGTTTAATATATGGATTAAATCCATATAATGGCTCTGTGAGGTAGTTATTTTAGTTACTACTATTTTAAAGATGATAAAACTTGGTAATTTACTCAAGGTCATTTTTTGCTTTATCTGCTGTAACTGCCTCTAAATTGGTACTTCATGCTTCTAGTCTTGGCCTCCTTGCACTCATTTTTCTTCAGTTGCCAGAGTGATCTTTTTAAAAATCATGACTTCAAATGCCATGCTATCCGCCATGACATCTTGGGCAGTATACTTTATTGCTATAATATAATTTTCAAAGAAATCTTACATAGATTTTGTAAATGGAAGGTTAGGCTTTGTTTTGCTAAAGCCTATTTCATCTTGTTCTCAAATTCTGTTTTACAAGTTAGCTGTTAAATTAGATGAAATTTAAAATGTTACACATTTGTTAAAGCCAGCCAAGTTAAAAAGCAAAATAAGCATGTAAAATAGGATTATTGAGTCTGCCTTTAAAGATACTCTTTAAACTTTGGTGTTTATTTTAAATAAAGCAATTGTCTTTAATACTTTTATAATATTTTATAGTTTTCAGTGTGATTTCATATATTTTTTAATTCCTAAATTATATTTATTATGGTAGAGCAAGTTTTGTAAGTTCTGTGTTTACTTAGATGGTATTACAAAGTAAAGAATTACCCTAGCGTCCTATTTACTTAATTTGTCTCTTTGGAAACTTAAATTTTGATTTGAACCATTGTATTGCCAATTTAAATTCTGTACTTAAGATATTCTGTTAGTCTACTTTTCTCAGAGGCTCAGCCAACCTCTCTTGAGCAATCTTTGTTTTACTAATGGCGCATAGGTTTGTTTCTCTCACACTAAAGTGACTCCACTCACTGCCTTTTTGGTGTCATGTGTACTTTTGGGTAGTGTTTCCATCTCTCATTTTGCTGTTACCTGTTATTTCTTGGACATTCCTTTAGTGTCCCTCTGCTGCAGCATAGCTTAGTGGTTAAGAGAGCTCACTTTGAAAAAGTCAAACTGAACTTAATTGTTCTGTGCCTCAGTTTTCTCATCTGTAAAATGAAGATAAAAATAGCTCACTTAATTGTACTGAAGTACCAACAGTACAATGCCTAGCAAATAAATGCACACTAATTGTTAAAGAAAATACAGTCTAGTAATTTTTTCTAAGAAGTTCATGCTACCTTTTAAAACAGAAATAGTGAACATAAATTAAGGAACCAAGTTTATTGTAATGACCTCAGGATCTTTTCATTCAACAAATTTTTATTAAGAATGTGCTGTGTCAGTAGACACACACATACACACAGATACATACACATACACACAGACACACATACACTCTGTCTCTGTCTCTGTCTCTGTCTCTCTGTCTCTGATTCTCTCTCTCTCTCTCTCTCTCTCTCTTTAGGCTAAATGGCCCTGCTGAGCTTTGTCTTTTCAGTTCCTTCCACTCTACTTTCGGGGAGCTTTCCCTTGTTATTTGACATCTTGCTACTGTTGCTTATTGCTCTGCCCCCAGAGATTTGTTAAGGACTTTATCAGTGATAAAAGCAAGTATACTGAGAGAGGGCCCCAGTACTGGTTTTGAATCAAGTGTATAACGTTTAATACATGGACTTTGTGATGACCTCTTTCCAGCGCACTGGTTGCTTTTTTTTTTTTTTTTAGTTCTCATTTTTCAGCTATATTTTGAGCAGTTGATATTGCCAAACGGTCTCACATTATATGGTGCTATTAGTGTGTGTTATTTTCAGATGTTGCTTAACATGAATTTTCAATTTTTAAATTTGAAGATGGAGATATACGTGAATTAGAGCGAACAAAGCAGTATGTAAATGAAGCTTTCCAAGCAGGGGCTATGACATGCTTAATTTGTATTGCTTCAGTGAAGAGAAACCAAGCAGTAAGTTTTTCTCGTTATGTATATTAATTTATATCCCTAGAATACCTTATTTTGCATTTATAATACCTAACCATTTGTTATTCTTTTGCTTATTTTTGTTTGAGAATTTTATTTTTGAATTGATCTTCATTTTTTAAATCTTTAATTAAAAAAATTATATCCAAGTGAGCATCCAATATTTTTAGTGTTATTAATGTAACTGAAGCAAAGTATCTTCAGTTTTAATGTATGTGTCAATTTGGTAAAGCACTTTTAGCAGATGCATTTTAGAGATTCCCACAAGTATGAAATATTAAAATGCACTATTTTATTTCTTTCAGCAGGTTTAAAAAAAGATGGTCACTGCCTTCAGGAAAGTAGAACCTAGTAGTGATGTGGCTTCTTAGTGAGCTTCTTTTGTGTTGAAGACACACCATGGGAAGTGTGTAGGCTTGTTGGGCAGAGATGGATTCAGACATAGCTCACATATTTAGAGGCGCTGGGGCCTAGTGGTAAAGTTACCTATATAAAATTTAAAAGAGCCTTAGTGAAGCAATTAAGGGAAAACGGTGATGAAAGATGATAGACTCAACATTTAGATCTCAGATTCATCCACTGCTGTTACAAGAGCATTGCCTAGAGAAAGAAAATCAGGCCGGATGAAATGGGTTGGTTCTGTAGTGTGAGTCAGAAGTCTAGCATTTCATCGGATAGGCTGGTGCAGCAGAGGCACGTGTTTTTGGCACCCAGAGTTACATCCAGTTGGCTTGATCTGATTTCAGCTGCAGTGGATGAGTGGTCTCTGCAAGTGGTTACAGTCTATCTTAAGCACCTGTTGTGTGTGTGAATTTTTTTTTTTAACCTTAATGCTTTTTCCTTGGGAGCTGCCTCAGTTAGTACACATGTGTAGTATAAATGCCCAGGGGAGTTGATGCTCTTGGGGCAAATTTCTACCACTTGGAGTGTTAGGGGTTGGGGATGGGTTAGTTCAAGGTGTGTTTTACAGTTCTTCTGAGTCCCCAGCAGGACTGAACTTTGGCCTTTAGAGGTACTTAGTT